GCCCTGTTGCCTGGCAATTTTGAATGGTTCCTTGCACTTGATATTTTTTTCTTGTTCTAGCACATTGTAAAACATTAGGTTTTAGCCTGCTGTACTGAGTGAACAATGACCTTTGAACCCAATATAGAAATGCATTGGTTGATTCCCATTTTTAAACTTCAATGTGAATTTTCAAGCAGAAACAGGATCAAGAGTGGGGGAAAAAGCTGAAAGCCTAGTATTATTTATAAGACAGTGATTTACCTTATTGCAAATATGACAGTTTAATGGTCTTACTGGCATTATGTACAAGTGAACAAGATATTTACTCTCTCACAGTTTGTCATAGCTGACGGAGAGCAGTAACTTTGATTCTGTTTCTGCTGGTTCATCACAAGTCAGCTCCGGCAGCACTTTCACTTAAATAGTAATCACAGAGATGGAGAAGTGAGGGGCTCCATACATCACAAGGGGACAAGTATTAGGTCCAGAGAAGTGGAGCCGTGTATGCTAACAGAGAAAATGAAAGGGGGATGGAGCAGGTGGATATGTGAGTCAGCAGCAAGTGTGATAAGGGGGCATTCTTGGGTCGCGCTCCGATAGATGGCAACAGGAATGGCTATTCCTCTGCCTTGGGCGGGATGATTGGATGGATCACAAGGAGGCAGAGGGGTGTGAGCAATAGATTTAGAGTGCTTATTTGTAATTAGTTGAAGATTTGTAGCATAGCTGGTCAGATCTACTGCAAGCAGAAACCAAACAAACTCTAAAGATAGCGCTCCAGTTCTGAATTAGCGTTCTTTGCCTTCCTCAAACATTATACTCGTGCAATGGCAAAAGAGCATGGCCTTCATTGGAGATCTTGAGTAGGCCCAAGAATACAAAATAATTGTTAAATTGTAAATTAAATATTTGTGACTTAATTTGTGACTTAATTTGTCCATATTTCTTCACACTGCTACTGTCGTTACTTACTCTACTCAACCTGTTTTGTATTTGTAAGTATTTTTTCTATCCTTGACGTGTTTTTGTCTTTCAGGTGCACCTACAGTATATCTGGACCTGCCATTCTGTGTTTGTCTCTCCTTTCTGTCCTCTCAAAGCCAGCCGGCCAAAGCAGATGGCTGCTTGTCCTGAGCCTGGTTCTGCTGGAGGTTTCTTCCTGTTAAAAGGGAGTTTTTACTTTTCCACTTTTGTCTTTGTGCTTGCTCAGGATAGGAGACTGCAACAAAGTGAAAATTCAACAAGTCTTCTGACTTCCTTAGATAGAAAATTTTACTAATTGGCCTTTCTATGTATGTGAATGTTTCTGTTCAGTGTCCTGAGACAACTTTCTTGTGAATTGGCACTATATAAATAAACTGAATTGAATCTGACTTATACTGATATACACAAACTGATTTCTATGTTTAGTGTTTTCACTGAAATAGTTGTGTTGGGAAAATTAAAGATGTTTAGACTTTTTTTTATTTTGACGTTCTCTGAGCAAAATTTGCTCTAACATGGTTATTCTGTTAAAGTCCATAATTACAACATAATGAGGGCCTATGTTTGATCAACCGATTGGATTTGGAGTTGTAACCATTTGCTGTTTTCATTGGATATTTTCATGGCACTCAGGCTGTGTTCACACTGTAGGTCTTAATGGCTCAATTCAGATTTTTTTTTTGCTCATATTCGATATTTTTTGTGTAATTGTTCACATTATCATTAAAATGTGATCTTCATCAGACTCCAATGAGAACTGTTTGCATAACTGTCAGAGGTGAAGAGAACAGAATAGAATGTGATGTCACATGCAACACACTGTGTTTAAAAAACAAACTCGATCAAAGCCCGATGTTAAAATCCTCCTTCATGCTTTTATTTCTAGTAGACTAGATTACTGTAATGCATTACGCTAAGGTCTGCCAAAAAATACAGTTTCACAACTCCAGCTGGTCCAGAATGCTGCTGCCAGAATCTTAACAAAGACCAAATAATTTCAGCAAATAAGTCGTTCTTCATTCACTCCACTGGTTACCAGTTTCCAACTTAATACAATACAAAGTATTCCTTCTTGTCCATAAATCACTGAACGGTTTATCTCCACAGTACTTAATGGACCGTCGTATACATTACAAACCGCCCAGACCTCTCAGATCAACAAACACAAGATTATTAGTTGGTCTGCAAATCAGAACCAAATGTGGTGAAGCTGCTTTTCATATTTATGCCCCTCACATGTGGAACACACTACCTGAGGAGCTCAAACGAGTCTGACCTGATCATATTTAAATCTAAATTAAAGACGTTCTTATTTTCTACTGCTTTTCACTGATTGATTTTTAAACTGACTAGTACTGCTTTTAATAATTGTTGTTGAATTTTTGCACATTGCATCTTTGGGCATGTGTGCGTGTGTGCATTTTTGTTTCAGGTTACCTTGTAGGGACCAATTTTACAAAAAAGCATGCATTGTGGGAACCAACTGCTATTTATGGGGACCAAAGCCAGGTCCCTATAAGGAGAAGTCTCACTGGGGGGTTTAGGAGTTAGGTTTAGGACCAAGGTGTGAATTGTGGATGGGTTAGGATTAGGCATGTACTAGTAATGGTTAGGCTTAGGTTAAGGGTCACAGTTAGGCTATAGAAAATGAATGGAAATCAATGCAAAGTCCCCAAAAAGTATGTTTACAAGAACATGCATGCATGTGTGCGTGCATGTGTGCGTGCATGCGTGCGTGCATGCGTACATGTGTAGGTAGTTTTCCCTTGTTCATGTTAACTTGTTTTTATTCTGTAAAGCACCTTGAGTTGCCACCTGGTATGAAATGTGCTATACGAATAAATTTACCTTGCCTTTAAAGAAGTAAATATGGATGTTATCATTTGTGATTCTGAAGTTATTCTGCAATCACAACTGATTAAATTATTATCCGACAGGCTTGTTTGGTCCAGTGTTTATATTTAATCTGGCCTCTTAATGGCTCCTCTGGTGCAGCGTTATTTTTGGAACAGGAGCAATGAACTGAATGTAAAAACAAACTCAAATATTGATCCCATCCTGTTAGTATCAATTCGGTCCAACACAAACACTAGAATCATGTAGATTCTCAGTCATCCTTGACATGTGAAATTAGTAGAATGAAGACGAAGCAACTAGATGTTTGCTCTGTAGCTGTCGACATGTGGAGCTCCAAGATTTAAACTACAACACAAGTTTGGTATCATTATAATTATTACTTGGATTGATCCACACCCCTCTTCTTTCACTGATGTAAACATCAGATGAATCGAGACATGACTATTCAGACTAAAGTCGCTTTGAAAAACATTGGATATGAATCCGATTCAGTACCACACATGAAAAAGAGTCAAGCTGGATTTGGAAAAAAAAAAAAAAAAAAAGATTTGTCACGTTCAGACAGTCATTAAAAAAACACAATATGGGTCACATAGAGGCAAAACAATCGGACTCCAGTGTGAATGTAGCCTTAATGGCCTTGCATACTCCATCTGAAGCGGTGAAATCAGCTCTCATTGTCGTAGTTGTGTGAAAAAAAATTGTCATTTAGTTCACAGAGCAGCTTTGCCTGCCCCTTCCTCACACAAGGCCTGGGCTGAACTTCTCACAGGAGAATAAGCCAAGTACTGTGTGGTTGGTCAGAAGTTTGTGGGCGTGTTCGTCGATGCAGAAATGCTCTCATACATTCAGCTGTACAACTAAACAAACACTCAATTAGTCAAAGGCCAAAAGCTCCTGGATGGAGACCATGCAGACACCATGTATGGAGGAATCTGTCTGCTGAAAAGTGTGGTGCTCTCTTTGTGATAGATTTGTGGCCAAACCACAGATGCAGGGATAGAGTGGACACTCTGGAGGGGAAACTCATGCAGTGACGTATACCGCAGTGGGAGGGGTACCGCAAGTCACCTGTTTGGCTTGGGCTGGAGTATGTTGGGCCCTTTAGTGTATCCTACAGGAGCTGCTGGCTGATTAATGTAGGTGCTGATCCATCACCTTTGGCAACAGGTGGCCATGATATTGTTACAGATCTTTTATCAGTGGCCTTTTCAAGAGGTCAGTTCAATAAAAACATGGACTTTAATTAAAAAATATATAAAATGTTGCTCACCACTTGAGCATTTGGACCTTTTTCAGCAGTTTTCTTACTGTTTGGTAAGTAACTGGGATTGATTCATTCAGTTGAGTGGAAACGCTACACAAGCAAAGCAGCAGAAAAAACTCAACAGCAAAGTCGTCTTAAGAGAATGATCATAAAAACAAGTTGTGAGTTCTGATAAACAGGCTTTGACATTGTTCTCATGCAACACACTGAATTTATTCTAGTTTTGCACATTATAAATTTGGCTTGGTATACAGTAGTCCCTTGTTTATCGTGTGGGACCAACACGCCCCCCAATCACACGCGATAAGTGAAAACCGCCAAGTAGGGATACAGTAGTCCAAGTTTATTGTCATTAGCATCTCATGTGGTACGAGATAAAACGAAATTATGTACACGAGTAGTAGTAGTAGTAGCAGTAAGTAGCGGTTTATTTTAGTATTTATATACAGGTATATATTAAGGCATTTTAAACTCTTCGCACTCCCTTGCTCTCTGCCACCTGCCAGTGCTCTTGGCCACGCCCACTTCTCCTCTGCAGAGCAGAGATCTGAAACGCTGCAGGAGGGAGCTTCTCCTGCAGCTTTGGGCTGCACACAGGTGCAGCAGGTGCTAAATAATTTAAAATAATTTATTTTACATAAAAAATCCCATGCCGATCGTGCAGCTCATCCATCAATCAGCCAATTGTGTGTCATGTCCAATCTTATTTTGAAAAACTACGAAAAACGAACCGCGAAGTAGCAAGGGACTACTGTATTGTCTACATTTATTTATTACTAATAAATGTTTTAAATTAAAGCTACAAAGATAAAATCTTCAATATTTAAAAAAGCTAATAAATTTCCACATGGGTTATTAGCAGACATTACTCTAGACCAAGCTCTTTACGTCAGGAGGATGACGACTGTACCTTTCTCTTCTTGAAGGCCTGCCGTGCAAGGTAACCTCTACAGGCAGCTTGGAACAGGGTTAGATTACGTTTGGTCTGCTCATCCCTCTGCTCCTCCAGTTTAGCCAAAGTGCCAGCTCTGAAAAACAACTAGAGCAAAAAACAATATACAACAAACGCATATTAGTAAAAAACAATAGTATAAGAGAGATCATCTGGTGCTTATTTTAGCCAAGGCAAATTTAGATCTAGCTTTAGTGTGAAGCACAGCGGGAAGGTTAAAACAGAAGAGAGTTTAAAAGTAAATAATGTAGTGAAGCAAAAAGATCAATAGGAAATGGTGTAATCCACAGATAAGAGAGTCTTAGCTAAGAGATGGAGTGGAGATTAAGTTATTATCTTGGACGATCAGAAAGGTCTGTTTCTAATTTAAGGGTAAAGGTAAAACACAAGTAAAGAGACGATCGAAAGCAGATCACATGAATTCTTAGAGGGATTAAGTACGGCAGAAGCACAATAAATATGATGGCAACAAGGCATCCAAGGCCTCTACAAAGCCCCCACTGTTTTATAGATAAATCCATATTTGCTGTCTTAACTAAGTAATGGTTGTAAACGACTGAGCAGCTTTCAGTAGAAAACCTGTGGACATTCGGGGAGGAGTGATGCATTTAGTTGCATCGGGGAATCCTACTTTTCAATTTGGTTCAAGGGCTCGAGCAGCAGTTTACCTTTTATCATCGTTAGATGCAGGCAGTACTTTGTAAAATGTGGGAGGCTAAGATGTTTGAGGTTTTTTTTCGATACACGGCTATCTCTGATGGCAGATTTTATCGTGTGCAGAGCTTTGAATCCACTGCTGGAAGGTTATTTGGGGCCCCGATGTAATTGGCATGCAAGTAAGACAGGTTGCTATGACGCCAGAGGAATGCTTTGTGAATGGCCAACTGAGCTTCAGAGTAGATTTCACACTCCAACGTGTGGCACCATGCGACGCTGCTGCAAACCCTTCGTGTGTCACATGCTTTCAAAGGCCCTTGGCACACGTTTTAAAAGGCGTATTTTTTGTGTTTTTAAGGTATTGTTTTCTTTGACTTAAGTCTTGGATGGCTACTTTCCAGCTCATAGGATTAGACCCAATTAGACCTCTGTTTCTAAGCAAGCCTTTGCTGGGACTTGCATAAATACAGTCATGGTGAAAAACAAACTAATGATCCAAAATGAAAGAGGATTTATGTCTCATTGTCAGAAAAGTAACCACATGCATGTCAGGTAGCCGCTCACTAAAACGATGAAGAGACAAGACCTGGCAACTCTCCAAAAACAAATGGCAAACAAGCCAAGAAAGCAAGGTGGAATGAAAGACACACTTCCCCAGACAGTAGTCTTTAAAAAAAAAAGGTGTACCACTAAAATGTTGTTTGGGTTTTAAAGAGGAAAGAAACTGGCAGTGATTCAAAGCAAAGGTTTATTTGGTAACATTAAAGCTTTTTATTTTTTAGGATGTAATGAGGTTACTCACCCTGCTCAGACCCATGTGGTAGCTGCTCTTCTCCAAATCCAAGGACTCCAGTAGCTCCTCCACAGCCTGACAAGTACATAAACATTAGGACTGACTACAGACACTACAACATGCCCACACTTTGGTTTACTTGTTCGAAATTAGTAGAATGTCCTTTTTCCTTTTCCCTCACATTGATTTTTTTTAACTGAATTTGATACACAGGAAATGGCTGGCTCCTGAAAATCTAAAAACATACACAAAATAAAACAATTACCACTTGTCCCCCTGCATCCGTCTGCTCTTAGCTGATTCATCACGACCCCCTGGTGTTCTTGGCCCTGTTGCAGCTCTGAGTGCACACATCCAATACAGCAAGTACACCATCGGCCCAGTCTTAGAGCCCCTCTTTGCCTCGTCTATCCACCTGCCCAGTGTAACACTGCAGCGGTATTGTTGTCTCAGCCTTTTCTCTCCAACTCGAGCCTCCAGCCTGAAAGACTACATCTAGATTACACCAGGGGAGGTTTGCCGTGAATACTGAGGGGCTTTTGTTCGCTGGTGTTTCCACAGAAACTCGGCCCCAATGCACCAACACGAAAGAAAACAGCAACACTCTACCTTAACTCCATTCTGTTTCTCTCTCACACACTCTCTCCCTCAATTCTCTTATATGAAGTTTGCAACCTTCTGCACTTTAACTAAGGCCTGTGCAGCAGAACACCCTCATTCATAGTTAAAACCTATAAATAGGGAATTTACAAGAAATGCACTAAACAAAAAGGAACCAAAGTAAATAAAAAGTCATCCGCTGCTTGTCATCGCCCAGATTGCGTAAGTTCATAATTGCATAATTTCAAATTTTCTAGCTGTGACTGCAGTAAAACACATCCTGAGCCACATTTCTAATCTCTCATTCTTTCACGAGCATGATGGCGATGAGGTTAAGTTGATTAGGTCATTACTATAGCTCTGATGAATGTCTATTTCTCTGTCCACTGGCTGCTGACAAATCAGGGGCAGATGTAATGAAGTTGTCTCTGCACAACATCAATCTTCGCCGCTCTTGGCCACCGGTGCAGCCGTACATTTCACCCTCCTCCACCCCCTCCCGCCACCTCGCTGACTGACTTACTCTCCTCTCATCCTTCACAATGTAATTCCTCCCGTGCTTCTTGGTGAGGTGCGGGGCCAGCACATCAAAGCGCCGTCGAAACTCCGAAAACACCATGTGATCAGGGTAACCTGCAGGAAGTCAGCAGTAGAGAACATTACACGTTCTGTAAATGTTTGTGGATTTCTGTCACATTAAGGGACCTCCTGACAGGAAAACTAAACCAGAGAGCTTTTTATTTCCCCCTCCATTCACAGTCACAATCCCATGAAGATTACATTGTTGTACCTGTAAGTGTGTGACTTAAGCAGATACTTCACCTTGCCTGTAGATCCGTAGAGCATCAAGCAGCTTGGAGCCACGTATCTGAGCACGAAGCAAGGCTACATCTAGCTGCATTAAGCCAGGATCTCCGAGGTCCCCCTGAGCCTCAGATTCCCCACCTTTGAACAGAGATCCACTAAGAGCCCTCAGAGCATCTGCCTTAGGCAATACGCAGTGAACAAAGTGAATCTTAGACCTCCGCAACATGTCAAGAAGGGCATCCTGGAGAGGGAAAAGCAGGGTTAGGAGCTCTGGATGAAATTAATGCATTTTCTTCCAGTGGTGTATTTAAATTAAGTTCAATATAACCAGTGGCTTAAACTATTTTTTTAAAGAAAACAAAAATGGCAATGTGGTTTTTCAAACATGATCAGTTAAAATATTACACATCAGGCACGGATGTATTAGAATTGACTTTTTATTTCTGATGGTGTTAGGAAGCATTTAGGAACTCAGCAACTACATAATAATCCTGCAAAATGCAGTAGATCAGTATTTATTGTCACACTTTGTGTTAGTGTGATCTGTATATGCTTAATGTGAATTTCAATGTAGTGCTTGACTCCCGGTTTTCATTTTTCACATGCTGAAAAATGTGTACATTTTTAAATAAACTCTAAAAATAAAGATCCCTTATGGGGTTTGAAGGGTTGGAAGCACGAGCAGCTGCAAAGCCTCTCTATAAAAACAGGTTATACATCATTTTCTCTGGCTGCAGCTCAACAACTGGCCTTCATCTCAACACTTTTTTCTTTAAGACTGCATTATGCAATTTGTGAATGCCCTAAGGTCTTAAAGTAGATTCCAAAACAAACCCTGAACAAGGTTACATGTGTGGATTACTCTACCCCGTTATACACCTCGTACTACGCAAGTTAAAATTGGACAAACTTTTTTCTATCCAAGTTTGGCTGTTTTTGTCCCTTTAGTTCCTCACCACTTGAAGCTTTATCTGGATGCACAACGACTTCTTCTTGATTGCAGCTACCCCTGTGATAAAGGTCTTCCTGATGCTAGAAGCCCTTCGCAGAGTCATGTTGGAAGCAGCTTCAAAGCCAGCGATGGAATCGAACACAGTAGATCCACCTGGTCTGCTCATGAACAATGAGCTGATGATCTTCCTGCAGGACACAGTGGTTCAGCATGGTGCACAGTAATTAGCTACTAAAGTGAAGTTTAATTTCTTCTACTTCCCATTGGGTGGCTCAAGAGGAACACTTACTTCTGGGATTCCTGCAGGAGGCTCACAGCATTGGCAGATGCAGGATTCTGCTTGGCGTAGTTCAGCCACCCATGAGCATTGTACTCCACCCAGTCAGTCCCATGACTGTGGCCCAGCAGGAAGTGGTTTTCCTTCTCGCTCCTCAAAAGAAATGTGTGACCTGACGCGAACAGAAGAGTCAAAGTTAGTCTCCTGAGATTATTGTTTTTTTTAACAAGACAGAAGTAAAGAGGAACGTGTCCTGATGCATGCTCACAAATCTAACAAGGTTAAATCAGGTCCTCTGGACGGATTCCCCTTTGATGAAACGTTTCGTCTTTAATCCAAAACCTTCCCATAGTGGATTAACCAGTTTGCTGGTGACATCCAGAACTAGCTGTTCACATGTAAAAAGGAGGACCATTAGTCTAACCACTGATTGTTAATGCCCTGATGGCATCCATCAGGGCCTTCTTCAGACTGAAGGTCATTTGGATGAAAGACGAAACGTTTCAACAAAGAAGAATCCGTTCAGAGGATTTGACTCAACCTTGTTAGATTAAACAAGAAGTTCTGAAGATGGTTTAACAGTCTGCATTAAGAGGTCATCAGAAACATATTAATCAGTTTGTGATTACGCTGGAATGTGCCATCTGTCAAAGTCCAGCAAAAACCTACGTACTGTTGTTGGAAATGGTCATTGTGTAAATACAGATATATTAGAATGCAGCATCAATCGATAAATAGCCGGTAGTATCAAGATTCTACTTTTTCCCCATGTTTTTGATCCTCACACTATTCATCAAATGCAATCAAAGTACTAGTTAGAGCAAAAATTGTTGTCAAATAGAAATATTGAATTATATAGTTCAATAATCTTTTAACTTGTCAACATGTTGCGCATTAATTATAACAGGCAAATACCTGATTTAACTTATCTTAAAGTGGATGTCATTTATGGATCACACTGGACTGTTTATTAATGTTTTAGTGTGAATTATTTAGATCCTTTTTATCAAATCTTAAATAAAACTGAATCAGTCTCGTGCAGGTTCAGTTGTTCAACAAGAATAGTATATACAACGCATAATACGCCCATCGACAAAATATTATACAGCAATCTATAGCAATGGCCGTGAAAATCAAAGAGCTTGGATAACATTTGACCTTGATTTGTGACCTTGTCCTTGGAGTTGGGGTGATGGAAGTGTATATGACACTCTGTCTAGTGATGATGCATATGTTTAGGGTTGTGTTCAATTATCCTGCGCAGACCAGAAGTTATAGGTGGGACAAGAGGAAGTTTATGTACAGACATACAGAGAATATACTGTACCATAATCCTGCCTTCGTCGAGCGCAGAATAACAAAAATATATGATTAATAATGCAAAAACTGATTTACAGGAACAAAATTTAAATAAAACGATTCAGGTATATTTCTGTAAAATAATATTTTAAAAGCTTCAATTTTTTTAATTTGTTCTTTATGTTACAAGTAATTTAGATGTTAAGAAAATCCATAGTGCATCGTCATTATAATGTTACTTCTAATGCGGTCTTTGTCTAACTGCATGATTCAGACAATGACTTTGTTTATTTGCTTGCTTTTAAAGAATAGTTAGAAAACAATTTGAGCTGTTTTAAATATAAACTAGCTGAATTATTTATGAGTGTACTGTAAATGTGTTTCAGCCCTCACCTTTACTCTCGCCCTCAGCCGGTCCATAGTAGCTAAAGAGTCGTCCCAGCAGCGTTTCCACTGATCCCCCCGGCTGCAGTGCCTCCTCCTCCATCAGCCACAACAAGCCTCGTGCCTCTTCTGTTCGAACTGCACGCACCTGTCAGAAAAATATACATTTAATGTGCACATAAGCTCAGGATTGCTATAAATGGGCCACAATGAACATGAAGTGTTTGTTTTTTACTTTTTATATGATGTCCTCTCTCCACCAACAACACACCAAAAACTCCTTTCATTACAAGAGTAATAAATCACCTTGACCCAGAGATATTTACCTAGTTTTAGCCTTTTAATGGGAATACATAGATGAACCACAAATATGTTTAAGCTTTTATTATTTATTTATATCCTGAGTACATAAAGGATATATATTACTCTGGAAAAACTAGTTGCTGACCTCCAAAGTCATGCTTTTTAAATGTAAGTAAAAGTACTTCACTGTTTTTCTTTTGTGAGCCAGTGCTGAGAGGCCAGATACTATTATCAGCACTGAAAATTAAAGTTTCAAAAACCATTCATGGTCTCTGCATCCTTCAGCAGCTGCTGCAATAATAGCCTCATCCATTCAGCTTTGCCTTATATTAAAAATCGCAACAAAGAGAAGTTCATTAGTACAGAGAGGATAAAAAATAATACAATTACCAATATAATTATTATCAACAGAAAGAAGGAAATAAAACCTGCTCCAGCCTTTTACTGTGGATTAATGGAATACAGTAGTCCCTCGTTTATCGCGAGGGATCCGTACCCTGAAGCCCTGCGATAAGTGAAAAACTGCAAAGTAGGAATAGTAGTAGTACTATTTGTACTACTAGCACAAGTAGTACAAGTAGTTTATTTTAGAATTCATATATATATATATATATATATATATATATATATATATATATATATACACACACAATGTTTCTAAACTCTAAACGCTCTAAAAGAGCGCAGAATGTCATGATTTCTGCTCTATGCCATGTGCCAGCCCTCTTGGCCACGCCCCTTCTCTGCAGCAGAGCGGAGATCAGCTGAACAGCTGCAGGAGGAAGTTTATCCTGCAGTGTGGGCTGCACAAAGAAACAACAGGTGCTAAATAATTTAAAATGTTATTTTAAATAAAAATCCCATGCCGATTGTGTGGCTCATCCATCAATCAGCCAATTGTGCATCATGTCCAATCTTATTTTGAAAAACCACGATATAGCGAGTCCGCGAAAAACGAACTGCACAGTAGCGAGGGACTACTGTAGTTCAAAAGTTATGAAGCGTGATTCCGTGGAAATAATAAATAGCTTACCTGCTGCAGATAGCTTTTTGTACTGCCTCAAGCTGGAGAAATATTTTAAATCTGATAGCTTGTCAGAGTAACTTCAATCTTAAAACTGTCATAGCCATCCATGTGACTGTTCATTTCGAATTACAAAATTGTTTACTTATCATTCTGGCAGCTAGCTGTAGCACTTCTTGTGCAACCTAGGGCATTTCCAGCAGGAATATCATATTATTTTTGCTGGGACAGAGGAGATTTATAAAATGATGTTTGCAAGTTCTGCTGTTAAATCCACTTTGATCGGTGCTTCTCTCAGAGTAGCTCATCAGTCCAATCAGAATTAAAATTAATGATTACAAAGTGAGGTAATTTAAAGAGTTATCTACAACAGGTATCATAATTAAAAAAACACTTCAGAAGATCTGAACTACCATATTTTCTGGCGTATAAGTCGCACCTTTTTGCATAAATTTGCAAATCCTGCGACTTATACACCGAAACAACTAATATACGTTATTTTCCTCATATTTATAACCCAAATTTTGGCTGAAATCTGACAATTGCATTCATTCTGACATGAAAAAAAAGAAACATTAACATTTGCAGCCACTAGAGGGCTCTTGAGCCTTATGGCAAGCCAAGTGTCTCATTAATAAGTAGAAGTGGCTATTAATGAGATACATGGCTTGCCAAAGAGGCCACCTTCGTCTCGCTCCGAAACTCCTGGAGCAAACATCAAATCAGATCCATTTGGCCACGCCGCCCAGGTGAAATGAATCTGATTTGACCATTAAAGTGCATTTATTATCCATCCATCCATCCATTATCTTGACCCACTTATTCCATTTTGGGTCACTGGGGTCGCTGGTGCCCATGTCCAGCAATCACTGTGCGAGAGGCGGGGTACACCCTGGACGGGTCGCAAGACCATCACAGGGCCACATAGAGACAAACGAGACAAACAACCATTCACTCTCTCACTCACACCTAGGGACAATTTAGAGTTACCAATCAGCCTAACATGCATATTTTTGGTCTGTGGGAGGAAACCAGAGTACCCGGAGAAAACCCACGCATGCACGGAGAGAACATGCAAACTCCACCCAGAAGGCCCCTGGACCGGGGTTTGAGCCAAGGACCTGCTCGCTGAGAGGCAGCAGCTCTACCAGTTGTGCCACTGTGCTGCCCGTGCATTTATTAATGAAAATTTAAACCGAGACACACCTTCGCTATAATGTCTAGCAAACAAATAATTGTTTTTAAGTATTAATCTTGTTAAATTCTTGTTAAAGTCCTCCCGTGTGTGCTCCCGCAGCCACCATTTTGGCAGCCAATCAATTTTTGGCACACATTTCTGGGTGGTCAGCGGTGATGCATAAAAAACGCGACGCGTCAGAGGTGATGCATAATAGATGCGACTTAAATGGCGAAGTGACTTATTTACGTTTTTTTCCACTTTATTAGACATTTTTGGACTGATGCGACTTATACGGTGGATTGACTTGTACGGCGGAAAATACTGTATCCTTTTACCATGATAGATTGATTTCTTTGGTTTTCAACGTTTTCTTCTCAGGTCCTATGAAAGTGCACGCAGCTTTACTCTGCCTTGTGCATCAATATTAGCATTCTTCTTTTTAGATTTAGAATTTCCATTCATTCATTGTCTTTACTCGTTTCTTCCTTTCTGGGTCACTGCTTCCCATATCCAGCAGTCACTATGCGAGAGGCGGAGGACACCCTGGACAGGTCTCCAGTCCATTACAGGGACACATAAAGACAAGCGAGACAACCATTCCCTCTCACTCACAGCTAGGGACAATTTAAAGTTACTAATCAGCCTAACATGCATGTTTTGGGTGTGTGGGAGGAAACCCACACATGCACGGAGAGAACATACAAACTCCACCCAGAAAGGCCCCCGCTGGAATTCAATTCGGCGACCTTCTCGCTGAGAGGCAACAGCTCTACCAACTGAGCCACCCACATTCAAAATTTAACATATTCTCATCTTAAAAGACACCCACTATTTTATTATAACATGTTTTGGTCATGTTTACATTTAATTAAAGCTAATTTCAAAATAAGCTACTGTTGTTTGAGGTTTTTCAGACCAAAGGACTCTGCACTATAAGATAGGTCCAGTCCATTAGCATAGCTACAGGAACGCCTGACTAAGGAACTAATGCAACAAAAATTATAAAACTGTTTTATTAGCTATCAGGAAGTTACACTGGAGACATCCTTATCAGCTGTGCACACTAGAGTGATTGCAAATGCGTACACAGTGTATCAGTTTGAAGGAGACATGTGACAACTATGAGGCTGGGATGAATTGAACATTGCAGCAGTGATAACAGACATCTGAGCAACTGTATGACAGGGAAATATTTTATCTGTGGGTTAGAAAAATCTTTGATCAAAATGTCTTTTCACTCTAAGTAACATATCTTCAAAGCAGACTTTAAAGTAGCCTTTATTTCTCTCCTTTTTTGTGATGTACTGCAGCTCCCTGCCTTCCCTCCCTCATGGTGTTCCTATCAGAGCAGAAAGCCTTTAAAAAGCAACGCATTCAAACTAAACACACTGGAGTTATAGCAACGTGATCTATGATTCTTTAAACTCTGCCATTTCTGTTTCCATGGTGCAGATCACAGGCGGCAAAGGCCAAACATTGATTTTCTTTCTTCAAGTCAATTCCTTAACCTTTCTTTTCTCGCTCCTATCCTCTGTTTCTTGCCTCTGCCAAAACTATACAGAATTAAGAGTGATTCCTAAATATATATAAAGAGTATCCAATGAATATTAAGTATACAAATTGTGGTTTGAAAATCATTCATAAGCAAGATCACTTAATTATGCATGAAAATATAAGTGGTTGCTCAAATCAGAGATGTGCTGAAGAAAACGACTAAACATTGAACTTACCAGAGCTTGGCTTGAAGATTGGTCGACAACTGAAAGTGACAGAGAAGAGCTGGACTCAGACTCATCTATGGCAAGATCGATGTTCTCCTGCAGGAACACACACAAGCAGTTTGAGTCATTATCACCATGTAATGATACTTGAGCTGCAAAATATACAAAGCTTTTATATTTTTGCTCGTCTGTGTGTCAACCTTATTCAAAATGACCACCACTGCTAAGGAAGCTTAGCTATGGCTACTTTAGCTTAATCATATTTGAAAATACTGATCTAAATGTGGTGTGATAGTAGCAGATAGTCATTCTTTACATATATTTACACATCTGGGAAGATCTCATAATATCTCATGCAGTGTGTCATTTACAAGTCTGACCTTTAAAGTTCAGTGTTCAAACTTTCCTCTGAGCAAATATGCATACATTTAGCCAGGAAGGCGTTAAAAATTCTACACCATCATGATATTATTCTGGTTGTACAGGTTTTGTCTGTAAACTACCAACGTAACAAAAAGAAGTTTGCAGGGATGCCTTTTCTGACCACTCCAACACTGCCATGTTTGCATGCAGCCATTCAGGAACTCTATCAGACTATCTACACGAACTTGGTTACAAGAATGTTGATGAGGCCATTAGAAAAAAAAAAAAAAAAAGGGAGGTGTATAAAAACCGCATAATTTCTTTGTTCACAGTGAGGAGTGTACCAAAAATTTGGAGGTTTTGAATTTTTAATCAAAATTCCAGGTTCTTTATTGTCATCCGCATCACATGTACATGGGTGGAACAAAATTGTGTATTCAAGGTCCCAGTTACATCCAAAAATATCAGAAATATAAAGGATACAAATGAAACAGTATACAAGGATCTATGATTTATGCTAAACACTAATATGCAATATAATACGGTGTATTAAACAGCAGCCTGAACATGAGTCTGTAGTGAGCAGATGGTTATGAATATAACAGCTCAGAGGCAAGAAATCAACAGGCCAGATAAAGTGACATATCACCAATTAACATGTTATTACAATGATTATCCTGGTTAGAGATTCATGAGTCTAACAGTCTCAGGGTAGAAGCTGTTCCTCAGTCTAATGGTTCTACACTTCATGCTCCTCAACCTCCTGCCTGAGGGGAGCAGGGCAAAAAGTGTGTGTGCTGGGTGAGTGGGGTCCTTCATGATGCAGGTGTTCCTCTTCCTGCATCTGGAGGTGTAGATGTCTGTGATGGTGGGGAGGCTGACTCCTACAGACTTCTGTGCAGCCTTCACCCCTCTCTGCAGAGCTCGTCTCTCTGATGGGATGAATGAATCAATTTGGAATCGATCAACTTTTAGCTGACGACTGGAGATCAACTGATGTAACTGATAAACCTGATAAAACTAAAAAATAAAATGAAAAATCAGTTCCTTAACCCACGATCGCCAAGAGGTTTTACCTGGTGCCTCAACGTACCATATCTTAGCACTAATTCACACTAGCAATAGCAGCTAGATGTTTTTATTGAATGAACACAGGTCAAAGTTAAACATTTGTGTTTTCTGTAAGGTGGGAAATAAAGTTAGAGAGACCAAACCGAGATGGTTTGGACATGTCCAGAGGAGGGACAGTGGGTATATTGGTAGAAGAATGTTATAAATGCAGCTGCCAGTTTAAAGACAAAGAGATATATGGATGCAGTTAGAGAGGACATGGAGTGAGGACAGAGGATGCAGAGGACAGAGTGAGATGGAGGAGGATGATTTGCTGTGGAAACCCCTGAAGAGGGAAAAGCCAAAATAAGTTTTCTGTAAAATAAGAGACATAAGAGGCTATAAAAAAGAAATGATTCTCTATAGAGGTCTCTCTTCAGCTCATTTTACTACTCAGTAATGAGGTTTTCTTTTCACAGACCAGCTACCACTTAAACAGGTGATGACGTAAATTAAATAAGACCAGCCTTCTTGTGTGAGGTCTATAATTTAAAAGCATGTTGAAAAATGTAAAGGTTCGATAATTTAATTGTTGTGATTATCAAGCTGTGAATTGCAAAGCACATATGTATGGTAGTTACAATAAAATAAATGGCTGATTTAGCACGTAACAGTAAATTAGCTTGTTTGTTTTGTTTATTTTTCATCCTGTTAAGCACTGCTGTAATTAATTTTAAATGAAAGCAATGCATAATAAAGTATTGTTCTGTTATGTGGTGCAATTTTACGTTCTGAGGTGTGCAAAACCTAAAAAAATATTAAATTGAAATAAAAATGTTAAACAGCCATAATTTGGATTACAAAACTGATAATGTGTAATTATTTTTAGTCTTTATTTGCATCTCTGTCCAATAACCATGAGAAGACTATTTTTCAATTTTCCATAACAGAGAAAATTCAGCATCTTAATGCATTCTTGTGAATATTCTTTTATTGTTGCACTTCAACTAAAAATCTGAACAAAAAATATACATTTTAAATAAAAATTACTTTGTTTTCCTCTACTGTATGGTTTTAATTATAGTTTGTAAAGAAAATGTAAATTTGGCTAAATCTGAATCAGCGGTTTATAAATTTGAAAAAATTTGAAATCAGAATTTGCCTCCAATACTGTGATCTGTGCATCTCTACATAAAAAAAAAATAAAGGTTAAAATGTACATTTTATCAATCTTTAATGTGCTTTTTCAAGCTTTCTATAAATGAGGGTATAAAAAGCATACTGTTGATCAATTAATCAAAAAAACTATGTATTTTATTATTTCAATATAATTCTAATTCAGTACATGTTTTTGCTGTTTGGACCTGAGCATATAAGGAAATTTTTCAGTCTTTCTCCCTCCTTAGATGGCATTAATCTGTCCTCCAGCTCTAATGTTAAAAACCTTGGTGTTATTTTTGATCAGGACATGTCTTTTATTACCCACATTAAAAACATTACTAGAACCACCTTCTTCCACCTGCGTAAATCACTAAAATGAGAAACATCTTATCTAAAAATGATGCAGAAAAACTGGTTCATGCATTTTTCACATCTAGACTGGACTATTGTAATGGTTTATTATCCGAGTGTCCAAATACTTCCTTAAAACGTCTTCAGTTGATCCAAAATGCTGCTGACAGAGTCTTAACTGGAGTTAGTGGGAGAGATCATATCTCTCCAGTTTTAGCTTCTCTCCATTGGCTCCCTGTCAAATCCAGAATTGAATTCAAAATCTTACTTCTAACCTACAAATCTCTCAACAGCCTAGATCCATCTTACAGTATATTACAGATCTTATTGTCCCATGTTTTCCTAACAGAGCACTTTGCTATTAGACTGCAGGTTTACTTGCGGTTCCTAGAGTTTCTACAAGCAGAATGGGAGGAAGATCTTTCAGTTATCAGGCTCCTCTCTTGTGGAACCAACTTCCAGTTTCTGTCTGTGAGGCTGACACATTGTCCAGTTTTAAAACTTTCCTTTTTGATAAATCCTATAGTTAGGGTTTGCTTGTTATGCTGCTATAGGCCTAGACTACTGGAGGACAAATTGACCTAATTTCTTAAAATGAATTGTTAAAATTGAATAGTTTTCATTTGATACTATTTCTATGTTAACATGTGATTCTTGACATGCCATTGTGTATCTGTTCCTCCTTCCTGTTCCTACCAAACCCAGCCGGTCGAAGCAGATGGCCACTTGTCCTGAGTCTGGTTCTGCTAAAGGTTTCTTCCTCACGAGGGAGATTTTCCTTTCCATTGCTGCCTTCATACTTGCTCAAGATGAGAGTTCTGCGATGGAAACTCAAAGCAGTCTGCTCCTCAGATAAATAATGTTATTAACTTGTTTTTTTATGTATGAATGTTTCTGTTCAGGGCCACGAGATGACTTCTGTTGTGACTTGACGTTGTATAAACTGAATTGAATTGAATGAGCAGTCACCAGTTAATTTAAAATCTTGATAAAAATGTTTTGGTCAAATGTGAAATGTGCAAAGAGGGTTAATAATTTACAAAATCATCTTGGACATATTGAAAACGTTTCAGATGAAATCATGTCCACGGCGGAGGAAAAATAAATAAGTAACTCTCACAAAACCAAAACAAGCACATGTCAACTAACAAGCCAAATTAGAAACAAATGATATTGTTAATAATGTGTTTAGCACATGCCAGTGTACGAGTTCACTGTACGGGTGAAACGCGGAAAGTTCTCCAGCACTCAACAACATTAGGATCGAGATCAAAACACACACGATTATGTCGCACTTGACAATCTGACCTGCCTGTCACTGTTATTGTTAACGTCGAGTGCGGCTGTAAATGAGTTTGACCCAGTTTTACCATGACAGGTTCACACCTTTGTATATGTTCAAGCTGCAGCGACAGGAGAGACTTACACCCCACACATTTATGCTAAACTTCATTTTGTTGAAATTCATACTCTCTCAGGAAAAAGACGTGGGTGGCAAAACAGGTGGGAAATCCCAAGATCCTCGTTGGCGATATTTGAAATATTGTTACAAGGATTCACTCCGTCATCAACTAAGAAGTATTTCTACGATATGATTTGAGTCAGCTGAAATGGATTGATTTATTTATGAGTTAAGAAAGAAATCTTTGGTATTTGCCCTTTAATAAATCCTCCAGGATGACTGTGCCCAGTTATTACGGTCCGGTTCTGCTAGAACGAGCTCAGAGGAGGACAGAAGAAGAATAGTTCTTTCATCAGGGAGCAACGCCGCGCCTGTGCAGCTGGGCGTGTCGCTGAAAGGCAGCTGTGAGTGACTTCACTTTGATCTCAGCAGAAGAGGTGAAGACTGGCATCACTAATGAGAAGGTCTAACACATGAACTGCTTTGGCTTGTCACAGCTTGTGACAGGTGGGATGGGTAGCGCATCTGATGTGTGAACACATGCACTATTGGAGTTGATATATCTGAGAGAAAGCGGCAGACAAAGGGAGTGAGAGAGAGGTGGGAGGAAGGCAGAAACAAGGAGAAAGGGAGGATGCATATATGCAGAGCGCATTCTCCTTCACATGTCTCTACCTCTTTGTATCGTTCCAACTCCTGAACAAAGGTGCGCTGGTAAAAGAGGCTCTGCAAACGCTCTTGAGTGTAGTTGTGGCAGAGGTCTTCAAAGGTTGTGCCGCTCTCGCGCTTCGCCAGCCTTGGGTTTTGAAAGCCTGGCGTGTCCACAATAAGCAGAGAGCACAGGGAGTGCTGGTTGGACTTCAAGGCCCTTAAGCACACAGGGAATAAAACATGCACGTACCCATGTTAAGGATGGCATGACAATGTCAGACACCTTTTAGTGATTTAATTTAACACAGAGCTTCAGTCTTAAAGGAATAGGTCAGACCTTTTGAAGTGGAGTTCTGTGGAAAAGTTATGAACAATTATCTTACTTGTAGATAGCTCTTTAAATGACTTTACTTTGGAGTAATAGCGTTCAAATTGATCACCTAGCCACTAGTTCAAGACGGGCTGCTATCTTAAAAGAATTCCAATCTCAAAATAATGATTACAATTTATGCAAATGCTTTTTTTTTTGGTTGTAAACTTCACACAACTGTCACTTATTTTACTTGGTTAGTCCAACTATTCCAGCAATATTACAGTAGTCCCTCGTTTATCGCAGGGGATCCGTACCCTGAAGCCCCACGATAAGTGAAAAAACACAAAGTAGGAATAGTAATACAAGTAGTAAATAGTAGTTTATTTTAGGGCATTTTAAACTCTTCCCACATTCTTGCAATATTCTAAACAATGTTTCTAAACTCTAAATGCTCTAAAAGAGCACAAAATGTCATGAGTTCCCTCTCTCTGGCTGCTGTCGGCCACCTGCAAGCTTTATTGGCCACGCCCACTTCTCCGTTCTGCACAGAGAACAGTTGATCAGCTGCAGCAGGAAGTTTATCCTGCAGTGTGGGCTGCACAGAGGTGCAGGAGGTGCTAAATAATTTAAAATAGTTTATTTTAAATAAAAATGCCATGCCGATAGTGCGGCTCATCCATCAATCAGCCAATTGTGTGTCTTGTCCAATCTTATTTTGAAAAACCACGATAGAGCGAGTCCACGATAAACAAACTGCAAAGTAGCGAGGGATCACTGTAAATTCCTGCCAGAAGTGCTACAGCTAGATGCTGCCGTCACTATTTACAGTAACAAATAATTAGAAGATTCTGTAAATAAGTGGTACGTCCATGTCCCCGTCACTGAGGGATTTGAATAGCGAATGTTGGGAGTTTTGATGAAAAATGTTTTTCCAGACTGGAATTTAACAGGGAATGTAAGTAAACCTAAATGTTTTTGGTACAAGTAATTCAAATGGGTAGGAGCTACACTGTGGAGAAGGCAGCGCAGAGTGATCCTGGCAAGTGGAGGAAGCAATTTTTTCTACCACCATGCACAATGGTGGAGCCAAGAGGGGGCTAATGGTGGCCTTCGGCTACCATAGATTAGTCTTCAGCCACCCCATGGGCCACCCCAATCATTTGAGGAAACTATACTTTTAAGTAAAATAAAAACTAGAAAAGAATAGTTTCCTCAAATAATGGGGTTGTCGGTTTACACACACACACACATAGATGGCAGTGTCTATTTTGGATTTTGACGTGGCAACCAAATTTTCCAAAGGAACCTTTCTTATGCCTACATGTAGCCACACACCAAAATAGAAGTCAACACCTCACTATTTTTTAAGTTATCAAAGCTTTGTAGTGTTTGAAGGAATGTTTTTAAATTTGCAGATAGTAAATCTGGTTTTAGATGGCCACAGTATACATTAATATTAGCCCATAATGGCTGTTAGCTCATCAATAAAATCAGAATTCAATTATATTTCTCCAAATGGAGTTTATTCGAAGAGTTAACAGGTATTGACTGCTCATAACATTACCACAGAACCAAAAAATCTGGAATATTTCTTTAATTATAGTCTTTTGTTTGTTCAACGCTAATCATTTCCATTAGTCTACAATGGAAGTAGCCTATTTAACTCTAAACTATCATCATTGCTATTGAAGGCCAACAAATCATAAGGTAAAAAAAAAAAATCCATCTACAATTGTGCATTTCAGCAGCTGAAAGCATAATAATATCAATCTAATGTTGATACTTACCTGTTTATCAAAATCACCACAATGTTAAAGAGTTCAGAGTAGAGACTGGATGCCGTGGCCTCCAAACACTCCATGGCTGTAGCTTTGGATCCTGGTAGATGGGAGAGAAAAAGTAATTTCCAGTTTACAATTGCTTAAACGCCAAATAAAAAAGGACTAGTTTCATAAATCAGAAGAAATATATTAATGTTTAACTAAAATGCTCCCAACATTTGCTTCTAAAAGGAAGTCCATCAGCATCAGTATGTGCCCAGAGGCAACAGTATCCAAGCTGGATTTGAAATGGTCTTTGTGAAGCATTGACATTTAGGACTCAGGTGCTTTGGAACCAGTCAGATCTAACTGTGCTAACTCATGTCTGTGCCCAGCGGCAACGGCCACCTGTTAAGCTCACTTAATTCTTTCTACCATCACAGAGAGCGGAGAGTTTACGTTTGGAGGCGGGGGGGGGGGGGGGTTTCAGGCATGCACACACATATCGGACAGTGGGTTCATGTGCAAGTGGAGATACAGAGAAGGTGAGACTGAGGTTATTTCTGTCCGTCCCTGCTGTGATAGACTTTTAACTGTATCCTCGTGCCCTTCAACATCTGTGGCAGTCCTGATGGAAGTCAGAGGAGCTGCGCGTGTGAAAAATCAATGTGAGGCAATTATGATTTCAAGGACAATGAATGAGGAGGGGATCCAAAATTGCTCGTCCCAACATAGTGTGAGCACTCATCTGTCAATAGCCTTTGTAAAAGGTGTAGTATTCATTACTAAGATAAGCTTTACTTTCTCCCAGCCATGCAATTTCCCTCAGGTGATGAGCAGACGTGTGTGTGGGGGGAGGGGGGTGGCAGAGTGAGAATGACAAAAAGAAAAAGAGTGGCGCTGAGGTGTGGGGCACCGAAGAACGAAAAAGAAAGCGTACATTGGTGAAATGTGTTCTGTTGAGTACCTGCATCTGCTGTGCCATTTTCTTCAGCAACCTGGCGGCTGGCGCCGGCTCTGGGCAGGGTGCCCTTGGCTTGATGCTTGAAGATGGAAGAGGAAAGCTCCTCCAGGGTGCAGCCCAGCAGGTAAGCTGCCTTCTGGGCCCACTCGTGACGTGCAAATTGTTTCCTGCCAGCTGAGACACGCACATTAAAACCTCCATTAGACGCTCTGCCAACAAAAGTCCATGCACACTGTGACCATCCTGCCTCTGATGGGGCAGGGTTACGTCTCAAGTCAACCAGCAAGCGCATAGCTAATGCAATGAAAGAATAATCATAAAAATATCAACAGTAATTAGAAAATAAAAATGTAAATGCATCTATAGGAGCGTAAAAAAGAAAACAAAAGCAAAGCAAAATTGGTAAAAGGACACAGTTTATTTAAATTAAGGGGAAAAAAGGTTTTTAATGGTGTAAAAATAATTTAAACAAACAGAAGAACCAACTTAAAGAGGTTTTAGAAGAAACCAATTTAGAGTGGATTATAACTCGAGAGAAATTTGGGGTTTGGATTTGGATTTATCAGCGCAATGGAAACCTTGCACGAGTCTCATAACGAGAAGCAGGACGGTGCAAAATACAAGCAAAGACTTTTAAATCTTCGCCTCGTCTGATATGCAAAACAGTGATTATTTTAAACATCAAAAAGAGAAAAATGGACGAGCCAATATGACTTTCTACTGCAGAGTCAAACGAATATAGAGTAAAAAGCTCTTAAAAGATAAAATATTTCTATATAATATGCACTTAAAAAAAGAGTCCAGACTCATGTAGTTAGCTTTAAAAAAAAAAAAAAAAAAAAAAAGAGTTTCAAGTATTATTACACTGAGAGAAGGAGATTTATTCCAGGAGGGGTCTTTAATTAGTTCTGGAAGATTAGAGACCACTGCTGCCCTCTTGTGTTAAACAGTGAGATTACACATTTGTAGATTAATAAATGCTGCATGTGATAAGGGCACAAAAACTAAGCTTGGACCAAAAAAAAGTATTAGTACACTATAAGTATATAGTGTAAAGTACTACTTTGATTAAACTTAAAATACTTAGAGGGATAAATCAAAGTGTGATCCCTGGAAACAAGTTCTGAGGAATCACTATCCAAATTTTAAATGTCAAATGCTCATTTTCAGGCTGCAAGAACACTTGTTAGTGTTCGTTTCCCCCGTTAAGATCAAGTGCTTGGAATGTTATGAAATCCTCCCCTAATGATATTAGACTGCCATCAGAAAGATCAATAGCCAGCTGGAGGGGATCTGATGACAATAATCTGGCAAGCTATTCTGCATGAACAACTGTGCAGACTGGGAGATAGGAGTGAAGTACAAAATGCAACACCATAGTAAACAATTACCGTGTACTCCCTGTAGATTGTGTGTGTGCAATGTGTATTTTGTTTATAAACCTGCACTGAAAAATAAAAGGGGTAAAAAAAAAAAGTGCTTTGTGAGATCAAGTCCTTTTAGACCAGGGGTGTCCAAATGTTTTGATAGGTGGACCAGATCGTCGAAATGAAAGGCCTCGCAGGCCAGAAAAATGTGAATTTAAGAAAAGAAAACAAATTAAAAAGTGTGATACACCCCCTCATTTTTAAACTCTCAACAACTTGAAGAAGATTTTGGGGAAAGGTTAAAAGTTTAGTTTAAATTCTTGTAGATCCAGAACATTAAGAACCTCATACATCAACCTTTTTATATTTTAAGAATTAAATTTATTGGATTGTTTGGGAGATGGCCCAACAGGGTCATCAAAGTTCTGAAAAACTGTCCTGCTGGCAGACGCTAAAACAGATTTATAGACGTTTTGAAGGGACACTAATAAAACTGATCAACTTATATGTCGATGATATCGCTTTATATTCTGTTAAAAATGTCCAATTTCTCAAAAATCGATTATTAAATCAACTGAAATTATTTTCTTTGAAAACACTTGTTATATTTATCCAAGTTTTATGAATTATTATCCAAAATTCTACTTTGTAGCAAGTCAGTGAAGGTTTGTTGTAGATAAAGTGATTGCTTATAGCTTAATGTTTGTCTTGTTCTTAATATCGCTCATTTTGAGAAGATTATTTTAATCTGTTAAATCTAAAAATGTAAAACGTATCGCCATTAAATCTAAAGAAGGTCTACATCTGCAACAACCTCTTAAGCCTGTGGGTCAAAATTTTACTATTCTTTAATTGCAGTCGAGGGCCGCACAAAATCACTCCAAGGGCCGCAAATGGCCCACGGGCCACACTTTGGACAAACCTGCCGTATATTTTCTTTGTTGTCCCAGAAAAACTTTTAGTAATGAGGATTTAAATAAATCAAGTAAATAAAACTATTCTGGTAAAAATTAAACATGTTTATAACAGAACAAATTAAACGGATCTCTTTTAAAAAAAAACAGTATTTGCTGACACAAAGGACTGATAACACTTTTCAAATACATATGCAGCTTAGGACAGAAACTAATCCTTACATTTAAAAGGACAGCTGCTCCAAATATTACAGTAATACATCTTCATGACAGGAAATGATTGCGTTTTTAAGCTGGAACAGTGATTCTTCACAATTAAACGAGTTGCTCGGTAGTTTCAGTTATTCTTGCAAAAAGCACATTTAGTTAAACCAGTTCACTTACTGAGTGAGGAATGATACATTAGAGAGAAGTAGTGGGGAAATGAATGCATTATTTCAACATCAGTTTCAAATTAAAAGCAGGAAAAGTCAGAGAGAAGAAGGGTTTAATGATTCCCTCCAAGTTTAATCAGTAATAAAGCATAGCTTTTTCTGAACGACCTGATTTTTCCCCCCAGTGCTGCAGATCAGTGCAGTTCAGCTTACTGAGATGTGCACCGTTCAACAGCTTCTTACAAGTGCAGATACATAATTCAGTTAACCCTGTTACTTCTGTCTTGCATCACACAAGTAATGCTTTTATAATGCAGGCTCAACATCTGTCAATGCACAAACACCGCTGCTAAAAAACAAACGTTTTAGTTGTGTGCAAGTGTAACAAACCCGCAGTGCTTTCTACAGGTATGCATCCTGTCGTTAAAAAACATCAACGCTGCTAATAACTGAGGCAGCTGCAGAGTGGAAATCCATCACAGAGTTCAAACGCCTTACACTTGGTAGCTCCTGCAGCTCCAAGGTGATAGATGGCTCCAAGGACGTGCCAGAGGGCCCTCTGCTCATCAGCGCTGACCCCCAGAACCTTCATGGCTGCTTGCAGCTTGGAGAACTGCTGGGAGGCCCGCTGCTTATCATCCGCCTGCCGGAGTCACATAAAATGACTACAGCTTCACAACAAGCGTCTCGTTTTGGTTGTCCGATCTCCTGCCTCTTACCTGTGGCGTGAGTCCAAATGCATTGTTGTCTGCAAAGTGGTTGAGGTGCAGATCGGTCCTGATGAGGAAACGAGACAGACGACATGACAGCTGACACAGTGGCCGGCAGCAGAGATTTATCACCGACATATAGCTGTGTAATGAATCGAGTGCAGAGCAGAGCTGTATTGTTAGATTAATTAGCCCGAGAGTATCAGCACTGACCTGAGAGAGCTATCTACTCCAGCCATCAGGTAGTAAAAGACATTAAAAGCAGACTCTCCCTCTGGTCTTCTTGTCACCCTCATTTTCTCCAGGAGCATCGTCTGTGAAGCAGAATAATAATATAATAAAGAATAAGTATTCTGTTAGGTTTAGTGATGAAAAAATAAAAACTTGGACTAGAGCGAAAATCTTTTGTGACAATGTTCAAAAGGAACATATAAAGATAGAGATGTTGACCCTGAGGTGCAAAACACAAACATGAAACAAAACACAAGGAAAGAGTTGTTCTCAATGGATTCCACTTTTTTACATATTCTAAAATGCTATTTTTTCTGATGATGTTTTCCAAATTAATCTGAATTTTTCTGTTATTGTGCATTATTAAATGTTTTGTTTTTTTCTAGATTTTTCTGTTTGAAACAATCATAGGCTGCCACCAAAGATGATACCGCAAACCTAAGAACAGCTACAGTTTAGCCAGTTTTACAGATTATTAGCTAAAATTTGGTGCAGACGTAGCAGAGCGTTATTCCCAAAGTACATGCTGAGCGCTAACTGATGGCAGAACATTTGTTTTGGGTTATTTTCAAACGCTGCTGTTAACTATTGCAGTGAGCTCCGTCTGCCTGTTACAGCTTTTGGAGTTACTCCATGTCAAGATGGCCTCTACAGATAATTGACCTCAGTCAACACAAAATTGTCTATTACTCATTCAGTTCTACAGTTACTGAGAAAAACATGACATTACCTGTGAGGTCATTCTAAAGTGCAAACAGAGCAGATGAGGAAAGGGATGTCTTAGTTTCCCACTTGTTGCAGAAAATGGATGAATGGATTGTGCATAACAAGGTTACACCCAAGTTCATGCTCAATAATCCAGGTATAAAATCCAACAATGTTCAGTCAGGTCATCTGGACAGTTTCTTTTTGCGCTGAGACGTTTCGTCCTTCATCCTAAGGACTTTCTCAATCTGAGAAGCCATCAAACAAAACTGATTCCCACAAACAACATACTCCATAGTGGGGGGAAAAAACAGTTTTGAATTTCCATATTCTATGGAGTATATTGGTTGAGGGAATCCGTTTTGTTTGGTGGCTTCTCAGATTGAGGAAGTCCTTTGGATGAAGGACGAAACGTATCAGCACAAAAACAGAAACCATTCAGATGACCTGACTGAATATTGTTGAATCAACAAGGTTAGGCCAAAATGGCTTTAGCTCCATTCATCATAAGGAGATTTCAGTTTAAAACTCTGAAAGTGCTTTGCATTCCTTCTTTCCTGTTGCTTTTGATTGTTGGCACCTCATGGTCACATCAGACGCTGCAGTTATATATAATCATGTAACTCTGGCTGCTACTTTCCCACTTAAATCATAAGGAAGCTGCAAAGGTGGATTTAGTTTTTTGCACCAGCTTTTCCCCCCTCGACTATACGACCTTGTGGATCTGTACCTGGATAGAAGCTGACGTCACCAATCCTGCCTGATCAAACTCCAAGGACACCACATGGGAGAAGCGACTTGCGTTCCCGTTCAAACAAGTGGAGGCGTTTCCAAAAGCCTCCAAAACTGAATAGACTGCTTGCCATTTTTCAGCTGCGAGAGACCCAAAAAAAAAAGTACAAAAGTTGTGCTTAGGATTTCAAAAACTCCGTAATTAATAATTGGAAGATATTCTGAATTTCTTTTAATTTGGAGTACATCCTTCCCAACTTACTAGATAACGTTTTATTGGCACTTCCTGCAACAGTAACTAGATACTGGACGATGTGTTGACAGTTTGTGGTTTTCCCGCTTCCGCTCTTGCCAAGCAAGACGATGGACTGATCCTGGCGAGTGGTCAGGAGGTTCCTGTAGGCGGCCTGAGCCATGCTGTAAATGTGGGGGGCAGTGTCATCTTTCCTGCAGCCCTTGAACATTTGCATCACCTGAAAATGGAAACAAAAATAGTGTAAACTAGAGAAATCGCATTTCCTGCAAAAATACAGTGTGAATGCTTATTGCTGAAGAACTTGCTGAAAAACAGCTGAAATTACCCAAAAACATGCTGAAATGTAGCTGAAATGGAAGAGCAAGCCTAAGTTAGCTGAAGAAAGAACACATATTTGATCAATTTGGTAAAAAATAAGAAATGAGCAAATAAATTAGTAAATTAGCTAAAAAACATTTTAAAAAAGCTCAAATTTTCAAAAGCTGAAAAGACAAAGAAGTTTAAACTACCAGAAGGAAGTGGAAGGAGCTGAAAATAGCTCAGAAATGTGTAATTAGCCGAAAAGGCTAAATTTAGCTCAAAACAGCTAAAAGTAGCTGAAATAGCAATAAAAGCTGAACCTAGCAGAAAAAAGCTGAAAGGAGCTCAACAAGCACAAATTAGCAGAAATAAGTTAATTTTGCTGCAAGTAGCAGAAATTAACATGTAAAAACTTGAATTTCTCTGAAATCGGCAGAAATTAGCTAAAAAATGCTAAAAGCTAGCTGAAAAGACAGGGGAAAAAAATTAAATTAGCAGAAGAAAGCAGAAAGAAATGTTTGACCAATTAGGTTGAAAGAAGCAGAAATGAGCATAAAAAAGTGGAAATTATCTGAAAAGGTTGAAATTAGCAAATAAACAGCTGAAAAGTAGCTAAGAAAAACAGAAAGAAGCTGAAATTACAAGAAGGAAGTTGAGAGAGCATAATTGTTGCTGAATTAGGCTGAAAAAAGTTGAAATGAGTGCAAAAAATGTGGCATTAGCTACAAAAATTAATTAGAATAAACAGCTGCAGTATATGAAATAGTAGAAAAAGCTGAAACTTGCAGAAATAAGCTGAAAGGAGCTGAAATTAGCACAAAGAAGTTAGAAGACGCACAAAAATGTTGAGAGCAGAAGAAATCTGAAAGGAGCACAAAACAGCTGAAAAAACAGCTGAAAGCAGCTGAAAAAAAATGAATTTGCACAAGGTAGCTGAAAGCAGCTGAACAAGAACAAAATGTGAAAGGAGCAGTAAAAGGTTATAAACATATCTAAAGATCTGAAGGATGTAAAATGAGCTCAATTCATTTCTTACGAGGAAAAATGGGCAGAAAAGGCTAAATATTTCAAAAAGCTAAAATTGCACCAATACCAAAAGTCATAGCAAGATTGTCCTGAAAGAGCTGAACGTTTTGATTTATGATTTGTTGAAATAGCACAAAAACTGTTGAATGAAAAAGATGCTGAAAAATGAAAAATGGATCACAAAAGTGTGAATGCTTCATAAACATTCACACAACAAGAACGGGAACAAACAATCACTGCTGTTGATGCTCCTGTTGATGCAGAACCACATGAGTCGTGTCGTATGTTCAGACTGCTGCCTACCTTCTCAGAGTACATAGAGGGGGCACTAATGGGGTTAATGACCACCATGTTGGGCCCAGCGTGGGTGTGCACTAGGTTACTGCCGTAGCGCTGCCGCAGGGAGTGCATCACGCTCGACTCATTCAAATACTGCAGCGAGGCCAAATCCTCGGCTCGGTCAAACAACGGAGGGTTTGCCTGGAGTTCAAAGGCAGAGGCGGTCACACACGCTGCCCATGTGTCATCCATTATAGATGAGGTTCAAGTTGATTTTATGATTAACTACCTTCTCCGCATCATCTTCGTCCACATCCAATAAAGATCCATCACTCTCCAGGCGGATTTTTACCTTCCCCTCTGGCAGGCTGCCTGACTCGGTCTTCAGGAGTGTTGCTGCATCATCACCAAGTGAGAGATTCATTTATTTTAACATGTGCTCTTAACCCGAGTGCAACAGCTTCATCGTATCTTACACGCCCGATAACACGGGTTAGTTTTATCTCTTTCGATAAAGCTAACACGCGTTCATTTTGAAAACAAGTCTACACATACGTGGGCTGAGGTAAACAAGAGTAGATTAATGAAATGACATCTTTTAACATCAGCATCTCTAAAAACGCTGTGAGCTTCAAACACCCACTTCGACAATTTTCTAAATTAAATGCCAAACAGTAAGAGAAATGCCAACACTGGCAGGAGACTAAATTGAAAGTTTTGATCCTTACATATGCAAATTAAACGCCTAGCATTTTACGAGGTGATGAATATTACCTGCTGCCCTTAGACAAAAGTCATCTTGTAAGAAATGACAAAGTTGTAGCTGTTTTGGTCAAACCTCGACAGTAACATTATATGCAATCTGTGTTGTATCACAAGTTGCCATGCTCAGAGTGTGGGTTTTGAATGATTCTCAGCTACAGCATCAAATTTTAGCTGAATATCTTTAAAACTGACTGAGTTTTATGCATTTTTGTGTTGGCTATTATCAGTTAGCTGTGGGGGCCAACTTGTAATGGATGGTCTTCAAAAGTTATCAGTTATAAAGATACAGCTGATGATTAATTTCTGAAAGTTTCATTCATATCTGTTCAAATTAATGAGATATTTTGTTAACAGACAAACGGGGTTAACTAGGCCTGTCGCGATAAACAACAAATCAATTAATCGCACGATAAATGAAAATTATCGACCTCATTTTAATTTATCAGCTTTATTGTTTCTTCGTGTTTCTCTTTTTACTGAAGACACTGGATGATAAAAGGCTCAACTCCAGTGCTCTTCACTGACCCCTCCCTCTCTCTTTTCTCTTTAAAATCCATTTTAACGATCCAAAATCATGTTTTTGGATCGTTAAAAAGAGCTAAGCTGAAAAGCTAAGCGATGAGATAAACTAACAGGCTGACTTCGGGGGAAAAAAAATGTGCCTTCGTGTAAAAAGTTGTTTTTCTCAGAAAAAAGAAGCTGAGAACTTGTTTACTGATTTTTTATTAAAAGCTTCGTGTGAAAAATGCTATGCTAAAGAGCTCAAACCACACCGAGCATCTGCCATTTTGTGAACCGACGAGAGGCAGGCCATGTCACATCAAAGGGTCTCCCTCACATTTTTCTTAAAGACACACGCTGCTCGCTCCCTCACTATCCATCCTTTGGTTCAAACAGTCTTATACTGCTAGCCGGTGGTCAAAAAAGGTACTAAACGCAAAACAAATTAAACATTTCTTCTTAAATTTGACAATAATTAGTAATTATTGTCAAATTTCAAACAATATTATCATTTATCGCACTAATTTCTGAGACAATTAATCGCCCAGCAAAATTTGTTATCGTGACTGGCCTAGGGTTAACTCAAACAGTAAACGCTAAAGTAAAGAAAAAAATCTTGCCAAATGTGAAGGGCTTGATTTACGCAAGTGTTGATTATCACTTTTAGCTAATAGCAAACCAAATAATAGCTTGACTTTAGTTAAATTAGAGATGCTATAACTTTATTTTGTGTTTTAAAAGGATGATTAGCTGAGGCGGCCATCTTGATTTAACTAAAAAGTGTATCCGTTGTAGCAGTACACACAAAGATTATTTTCTGAAACTTGTAACGCAAGTTCTGTGGTTTAATAATTATTTTGCTAACAGACAATCAGGTGATGGAAATTTTTAAACAAAGATTTTGCGTAATCGGTGAGCGCTCAGAATGTGTGTTGAGGAGCATTCTCAGCTACTACCACACCAAATTTTAGGTAATATCTGTGAAATTGGGTTATAATCGTTTTAGTTTTTTTAAGGTCGGTTGGCTGTGGCAGCCATTTTACATACGGCTGACACAAAATGTTAAATGACCGTGAGTCCAGTGATTATTTATTGCCAGATTCATTAAAATGCATCTAATATTTAACATTTAGACACAAACAGGTAAAAACATAATAACGGGTGATATTAATGTCCGCACTGGGGATTAATACAGTACAATAAATAAATAAATAAAAACTAAAGGCATTTTAAGTCACACAAACCTAAGGAAAATCCATCCTTGTGAACAAGCCAGACTTTTTCTGTATTGTACCAGGCTTTCTCTGCTCGTATCTGCTCCTCCGTCTTCACCTGTAAGAAAAAAGGACAAAAACAATCGGAATAATGAAAGAATAGAAAAAGTAATGGACACATTCAAAGCATGTCAAAATGTATAAAATCATTATTGACTCAAATACTCTGCATATAAACTTCCAACAGGCTGTAAAGTTGAGAATTCCCCAAGAAGTAGTGACCATTTGTAGTGAACCTTCACATTAAAAGGAGGGTAAAATTCTGCACGGATGTATGTGTTTTTTTTCCTCTTTATAACAGATGCATCATTTTGAGATCACTGGTTTTGTTTGGATATTACACCACCAGATTGTATGTCCATTACACCAGCAGCCTTGTATGAAATAACTCTGACTCACCTTTCAACGCACCCTAAAAGCACTCAGTGTCCGCTGAACTCACCGAGGGTTAATATCAAAAAAGGGTGATTTTTTTTTTTTTTTTTTGCTTCACACACAAAATTGTCCAATTAATTGCAAAGATAAATGTAAAAAATAAAAATAGAAAACACCAGATTTTAGCTGTACTTCCTTTAAAATGTTGACCTGGTAGATATTTAAAGTGCAATGAAAAGCTTTTGTTTAGAGAAATAAAACCTCCATGCCAGCATCAAGCACAGATGGTGTATTTTTTTAATGCTTGGTTTTTTTCTTGTTGCTTTCTGGAAAACTAAAGCGATAAGGACTCATTCTGCATACTTATGTCTTTGTGTCCACGTACCTACACACTTCAGTTTTCACAGAACTCATGCAGCACAGGGAATATTGCCTGTTAAATATATAAACAGGCTGGAGAAAAAAGAAGGCTGCTAGTCATTTTAAAGAAACATCAACATTTGATTTCTGACTCGGAGTAAGGCCTTTAAAGGGAAACTTCAACAGGGGAGTCTAAAAGGAAGAGTGGGGCTTCTAGGAGGTGAAACTGCTTCACTAATTATTACCACAGAAAAATAATAAAAACCACACAACAAGCATCATTCTGAACCAAAGCATGGAGTTACAGCCATGATCAGACCTTAGTCGCAGCTGCATGAGCTGCCTGAAGGACGGCCACCGGGTCCTCAACAAGCTTGGACTGGAGAAGGGAAGGATCACAAGTAAATGATTCAAAATCTAAACTCATTCAGTGTCATTTTCTAAAACACAACTGAAACCATGCAACAAAACACATTACTGTTCCAAAGTAATAATAGATGACAAACACTGCAAGACCAAGATCTGTCAGAAAATGCAGCAATTCTGTTGATTACTTGAAGTAAATCACATTTTAAAAATAATGCAATGATAAGCAAAGGATGCAAGGAGGGGTGGGCATAGAGCGTGCAAATCTATGGGGAAATTATTAGAGATGCACCAATCCTATATTAGTATCAGTAGCGATACAGAGAACAACTCTTGATAGAGTATTTAGATATGCACCGATTTGATATTAGTATCGGCATCAGTACCAAAAATTCTTGGATCAGGTATCAGTAGAGATGCACCGATCCGACATTAGTATCTGTATTGTACCGATATCGGAAAAATTGCACTGACTGAATAAATTAAAGTTACGTTGTTTTTACGTTTGACCAAGCTTGTGAAGCTGTTGGTGGGTTTAAGTGTGCTGTACTGGTGCCAAGTTGTCAATAAATTTGTAATTCAGTACATTTATGTCTGCGTTTAAAAAACAAATGGTTTAAGTTAATTCAGTCCTGGAGGCTCAATGAGAATAACCTGTATAAATAAAGGTTTAATGGGAAAAAAATAATAATAATAATAATTGTTTTAATGTATCAGATCGGTATCGGATCAGTGTCTGCTGATACCAAACCTCAAATATCCATATCGGAAGTGGACAAATAGATCGGTGCGTCCTTAAAAATTATATAGCTTCATGTTATATCAGACAAATGGAGTCAGAATATCAGCGCCACATGGTGAGTTTCAAATGTCATACGTTGCTACGAGAGCAAAATAAAACTGTATGCAATAAAGTGACAGATATGCTATTTGGTAGAAGGGGAGAAATCACAGGTATGACTCAAAAATAACTGATCTGAAGAGCTCAACAGTTTAGTTTTGCAAATGGAAAACAAAGCAAAAAACAATCAACCAAAATGTATCTATTTTTTGTTTGTTTTGTTTTGTTTTTTGCAAAGGCTAAAATTTAAAAAATCTACATTCTACAACAATTTCCAGCTTTCTTATCCAGCAGCTGACCAATCAGCTTTGCAGAATAACATCTTTGTCACCAACTTAATTTTAGTTTCCATCAGAAAGATTGGCTGCTGTCCATGTCACCGAGCTGTTTTTTTGTATTTTTTTCTTCCAAAAGAAAGGTTATAAGTACTTTGCTTTATAGCAATGCATAAAAAAGTGCTATCAGCTTTGCCAAACCTTCCTACTTAATAACAAAATGAGAAGTGACTCAGCATTACTTTAAAGCAGAGGTGGTGACCGTCAGCTCATTTGTTCTGCTGACTGACATGAAACCACACAATGAGACCATCTTATCACAAACAAAACTGGTTTGTTCCACTTTGGAGTAAGCAGTTGGGGGAAGAATCAGTTTTGTTGTGCGTTTTCTTGACAGATGAAGCCTTCCGGATCGAAGGCAAAACGTTTCAGCACCAAAAAAAGAAACCGTCCAGATGACCTGACTGAAAAATGTTGGATTGTATACTTGGATTATTGAGCATGGACTTTGTTGCACACAATGATTAGTTTTACTTTTTAACTTTTTGCTCAGTGTTGATCTGTAATTCAACATTAAATATCCCTTTGAGCTGATCATCTCCATTCCATGACACCTTCAGCCCATAATAACCTTGATAGTTTCTGTTTAGGTGTTAATGGAGATTCAGATTAGAACTAACTGAAAGAAAATCTTACTTCAGATCACTTCTTGCTGCCCCTTCTCCAACAAACTGACTTCATTTTCCATTCAGTTTTGTTTTTCAGCAACTTGCATTTAATTTCCTGTCCTGACACACAAACATCTTCCTTATTTACTTGTATGTTTGCCTTTTAAAAGGCTCAAATTTTGACCATGCTTGTTTTACAATATGGACAGAGCGTAATCTGTCCTGTCTCATTGGTCTCATGATGGACTGGCGATCCATTCAGGGTGTACCCCGCCTTCTGCCCAGTGACCACTGGTGATAGGCACCAGCCCCTCACAACCCTGAATGCGAACAAGCAGGTGAAGAAAATGCCACACATTACAAACAATTACTGAGGAAAGTTCAACTGACTGGAGCATAAATTATCACCAGAACTTTGTGCAACATCAAGCTACGAGTGTTCCCCAAAGATAAACATCAAATCAATACTTCAAACCTCCAAAAACCCAATGTGGGATTTTGTTAAACCAAAAAAAATAGATCTATTGGAAACCAACTTCACAGCATCATAACGATAAAACAGAAACAGGTGCAAAACGATTGTCGTTCCATTTGAATCAGAATGAGAATAAGCATTAATTATCATTGTACCGGGATACAGCGAGAGTATGTTCGTACAGTCGTCCGAAAGATGGGCGGAGTGCATGTAGCTGCTGCTATGATAGCACAGCCTCTTATCCTTTTCAGAATACTCTTTTGGATAGAAAAGAGGAGAAAGCCATGAGGATAGGATAGTGGCATTACAAAAAAAGATCTCTTCACATCTTGTCGTATCAGGACATGAATTAAGACGTTAAAAAAAACTTTGCAAGCACATTTATGAACACGTTACATATGCATTTGATGACGAGACGGTCCTTGAAGCACTAACAGATAGGCCATAGTCCTGATGATGGTCAGCCACAGAAGTTCTCGAGGTGAGTATTGGCAATAGACAAAGCTTTTCCTTAGTTTACACATATCCCAGGAGAAATTGATCTGTCGGCCCGTTTTTGAGGCCAACCGGAGGAGTCAGATCCAGATAAGCCACATAAGCCATTTTTTTCAGGCAGACTGTTTTTTTTCTTGTCAGCCTCGAGTCCTGCTGGTACGTCCAAGATCCAAAATGGCCAGATTAGGGTCCATTCTACTGGTCCATGCTGACGAGCCCCTCCAAGGTTGTTTCCAAAATGCTGGCGAGTCCCAAAGCCGCAGGTGGCCTGCGATTCTCACAAATCACTTCCATCTTACGGTTTAGCTTGTAAATCAGCTGATTTTGAGTCCTCAAAGCATGAAACAAACCTTCACAAGCAGGCAGCCTGATGAGGACCAAATTAGCTGCAGCTGTTTTCTTGTATGTTGATAGACCAGGAACCAGCCAATTCCAAAAAGCAGGAATCCTGTTACCATATATCCGATTGTATATGTCTTCGGCAACCTCCTGAGATTCTCAGCGGGACATGAGGGTTCTCCAGGGCCCTGTCACTTTGCTGAAAAGATTTTGTCGATTGTGTTGAAAGTCCAGCTGATCAGATCCATAACAGTAGTTTTCATTTCAGAAGATGTGTAAAATAGGAGCTCCGATACACAGATAGAGAGCAAAAAAGCAGAAGGAGAACAGGAGAGGGAAGAGAATGTGTCCGCCTCGTACGAGAGCGAGTGAGGAAAAAAAAAAGGCAGAAGTGTCTGAAAAAGCCCGAAGACGAAGCTCTTCAGCTTTCGGTTTTAAATTGAGAACACTCTTCAGGTGATAAGTGAAACATCCTCAAGAATCAAAACCCAAAAGTCTAGTCTTATTCAATTTATTAGAACTAACATGTCCTGAATGATCGAGGCCTACACCGGCATTTCACAGTCAGGTAGCTCAGCTGTTAACAATGGTTGTCAAATCAGTGGTTTAATAAAACTGCTGAATGAATGTCCTCAAAGAGTGGCAATCAAACAAGCTATCTGTAATTGTAAAACTCACTTGATATTATAGGAAAAGTTTAATTACATGCAGATTTAGACATTTTTAACAGCCACATTTGACTACAGTTTAAATACAACTTATCTAAATGTGTGCAAAAAGTAGAAAAAGCTGTTATATTGAGTTCACTGTAAATTAAATGCAGCGCAGGTAAAAGAACCTTCATAAACTTGGTCAAGAGCACAA